TGTGTGTGTGTATTGTAATGTAATCGTCGCATTGGCTCATATATACTCCGGTACAGTAGGTGGCGGTATGCCCCTAGAAGTCAAGGTTGCCATTAAACTAATAGAAGAAGAATCAAATGAAAGAAGAAGAAGAAGACGCATGCCCGGGGATGTAAATAAAGGATAAATCGCCATGTTTGACTGATGGATCGAAGTTAGTTGGTTTCTGTTGGTTCAGAACCATCCAATTAGTGCAGTTATTTGTCTGTGTATAATATTAGCTCCGGTTCGGTTCAATATGCAGCATCTCAGAACCGCAGAGGAAACTTTCAGCCGTCAGGCCGAACTGGTTCTACAGCTGCTGCTGGACGCTGCGGTCGAAGTTGTTCTGGGCCAGCAGGAACCGGTACCAAAGGAGGTTCTACTGGTTCACCGGGAATCAGCTGCTGAGGAGGTTCTGCTGGACCACAAACAGACAACTTTGGAGGACTTGCTGGGTCACCAACAGCGAGCTGCTGACGAGGTTCTGCTGTATCCGAAACCGGCTGCTAAGGAGGTTCTGTTGGGTTCAGCTTTGCTGAACCAACCGGAGCCACGGAGTGGTTCTGTTCTGCTGGGCCAGCATGGACCAGAGGAGAAGCGGAAGCAGGTGAGAGGCAGAGAGATGCATGTGGTGAGACTTCAATGTTAAGATGCCAAAATCTAAGAGGAAACGGCTTCGTTTCAATAATTAGTCTACATGTGACGATCAACTGTCTAATAGACGATCTTTGAAGGGTGAATTCTGCCATTTCATTGGTCAGAATAAAGTTATCTGACAGCGCCTTATTAGGACCAAAACTGCTGTTTGTGTCTGCAGGATAAAAACAAAACTGATGATTACAACAAAATCTTCGCTAGAGTATATATAAACATTATTATTATTATTGTTATTATGAATGGATATAAAGACGTGCTGCCAGTGCATGGATAACTCCGGGAAATCAGTGCTGTGGATGAACATCTATGGAAGAAATCTGCCTTTTTTGTATACCGAATTTTAAACACTGATTTTTTTTTACACACTAAATTCCTTACACTATTTTTTTGTCTGGTAATAATGCCTGCAAAAAGTTCACCTGCAAAAAA